GCCTCAGCCTCCCAAGTAGCTGGGACTACAGGTGCCTGCCACAACGCCCAGCTATTTTGTTGTTGTTGTTGTCGTTTTTGTTTAGCAGCCCTGGTGCATGTGGCTGGTGCCCTAATCACTGAGTTACCCAGGTGCCTAGCCAGGTAGAACTTTTTTTTTAAAGAGACAGTCTTACTTTGTTGCCCTTGGTAGAGTGCTGTGGTGTCACAGCTCACAGCAACCTCCAGCTCTTTGGCTTTGGTGATTCTCTTGCCTCAGCCTTCTGAGTAGCTGGGACTACAGGCGCCCACCACAACACCTGGCTGTTTTTTTTGTTGAAGTTTGGCCGGAGCCAGTTTGAACCTGCCACCCTTCATATATGGGGCCAGTGCGCTACTCACTGAGCCACAGGTGTCACCCAAGGGAGAACATTTTTTGACTTCAGAAAACTGTGGAAGTATTAGACAGATTTTTTTTTTTTTGCTGGCTTTTTAAACTTGCATTTTTTCATGGTATTCTTGAGTTTTTTCCTTCTTTTCTTTCCCCTCATTTTAGTTTTTTGCTTTGGATGTTTTTACTCAGCAAATTACCAAGAGGCTCAGTACCTGTGGCTCAAGTAAAACAACAATGACGGCTGCAACCAAAAAATAGCCGGGCATTGTGGCGGGCACCTGTGGTCCCAGCTACTTGGGAGGCTGAGGCAGGAGACTCAGGAGTTGGAGGTTTCTGTGAGCTGTGATGTCACAGCATATCCAGGGGGACAGCTTGAGGCTCTGTCTCAAAAAAAAAAAATTAATAAAAATTAAAAAACCCCAAATATTTACCAAGAATCTAGCATTTCCCTCTAGCTACCGCAGAGGGAAAGACAGCTATGGCAGAATTCAGCCTCCCATGGGCTAAGAGGAGGGAATTAGGGGCTGGCAGGCAGAAGTGAGGTTGAAGAGGGTGTGCCTGAGGAGAGATGGCACAAATAAAATGCTGTGCCCAAATGGGCATCTGTAGAAGCAACTTTCCCTTCCCTTTTCTTTTTGTGGGGGAAGGAGGACCTATTTTTTGAGAAAGGGTCTCCCTCTGTTGCCCAGGCTAGAGTACAGTGGCATCATCATAGCTCACTGTAACCTTAAACTCCTAGGCTCAAGGGATCCTCTTTTCTCAGCCTCCTGAGTAGCTGGGACTACAGGTATGTGTCATGACCCCTACAGCCCTGGTCGCAGTTGCTGCACAAAGCACCAGGCGTAACATGGATTAGAAGTACAAGCTTGCAGCAGGCGGGTTAACCTTAAGTGCAGGGTAGCCCAGAGCCCCCTCTTCAATGGCTATTTATGAAGGTTATACACAACAAGTGTGGAGAGTTAAGGTAATTACTTACGAGAGCTGCATGTGTAAGGATTGCCACGTGCTCTTTCCTCATGTGTTTTTTCCTCACATGTTCTTTACCCACAATCCCCATGAAGAAGTACCAAGCATCAATGTTTAACACATGCTTACTAGTGAGTGACCGGTCTTATCTCATTTTGGAACGCTGAGTTACTTGGGGGACTGCCCCTAAGTCACAAAATATCTCTAGGCTTGCCAGGAGACTGTCCTGTTCTTAGCATTTCCTTTTAATGTGATAAGAATCAGTAACTGAGCTTGGCAAGCATGGTGTCCATTCCTCTACAGGTGTGCACCACCATACTGACTAATTTTTCTAGTTTTTGTGGCAATGGGGTCTTGCTGTGGTGCCCAGAGGGTGCTAGGCAACAACACCCTCTTCTCTGCTACATGAGAACTGAGTTATCAGAGACCAGTGTTGGCTCTCAGTGTCCCCAAGGGTGTGGAGCATACCTGTCCTTCCTAAAAGTCTGTAAATCAAGGACAAGTCATTAAAAAACCCATGTGGGGCTTATTCTGCAGTTGGCAGAGCCTGCCTTGGCCACTTGGTAACTAAGGATAAAGAGCTGGGTGTATTATGCCATCTCTGTGGACCACCCCTTTCTGGCTTTGTTCATAAATTGTTCCCCTGATCTACAGGTCTTCCCACTGTCCCACCTTAAAACCTCAAATCCTGTTTTTTTTTTTTTTTTTTTTTTTGAGACAGAGCCTCAAGCTGTCCCCCTGGGTAGAGTGCTATGGCATCGCAGCTCATAGCAACCTCCCACTCCTGGGCTCAAGCAAGTCTCCTGCCTCCGCCTCCCAAGTAGCTGGGACCACAAGCGCCCGCCACAACGCCTGGCTATTTTTTGGTTGCAGCCATTATTGTTGCTTGGCGGGCCCGGGCTGGATTCGAACCCGCCACCTTAGGTGTATGTGGCTGGCGCCTTAGCCACTTGAGCCACAGGCGCCGAGCCTCAAATCCTGTTTTTAATGGTCCTTTCCCTGGAAGCATTGCTGCGTGCTTTCACATTCTTCTGGACTATGCTATGTTCTGTACAGTTCATCAGGGTTACTGCAGAGGAGAGTATATCTGATTTGGAGTCAGGAAAAGGTTCCATTTTCTAAATATTCTGCTATTTATTTTCTGAACATTCTTGGCCATCACTAAGCCTTAGTCAAAATACAAGTACAATCGTTGTCTAACATTTACTAAGTGCTTACCATTACCATGTGGCAGGCATTGTGCTGTTATTTTACATCCTAAAATTAATTCCAATGTAAATGTTAAATATAAAGTGAGAGAGAATGTTCAGAATGACCATGGTAAGTAAATCCTATCCCAAAAGGTAACAGAAAACGTGACATAGGTATCTAGAGGAAACTCAGGAGGGATGTGTGCCGGTATATTAACCTGTGGGAGAAAATAGTGGATGCTTTTTAAAAATTTCTCTTTAGCCTTTTGAGGACTGTTTTTTATATTTCTTTGTCCCCCTCCACACCTGCTTCTGGGAAAGCACATAGAAAATCCTCTGTAAGTAAATTATTTCTTTGCTTGGCCCAGTTTGGCCTGATTTGATGTCAGTTGTGGTAGTTCTTTTTGAGTTACTTACTGTGCTTCCATTCATCTGAAAAGTTCTCTAAATGGACTGCTCCTTACACTGCCAACACAGAAGCCTCCAGGGATGGAGGATGAGTTTGTCATGTTATGGGACTATATTTCCCTGGCTGATGAGGGCTCAACCCTTGCTGGAGGCAGTGGGAATTGATTAGCCAATAATTTCCTTCAGCCCAGCAGAGTTCTGAGTAGCCTCCGGACAGTCTGCTTCAGGCATCCTCAAACTATGGCCTGCGGGCCACATGCAGCCTGCCTAGGACATTTATCCGGCCCCCTGGGTGTTTTTGCTGCTGCTGCCTGTCCTGCTTAGCAGCCCACTGGTCCTGAGACCCGTAGTCCGGCCCTCCAACGGTCTGAGAGACAGCGAACTGGCCCCCTGTTTAAAAAGTTTGAGGACCCTGGTCTGCTTGGTTGGTGATTCATACAAGCTGATGGAAGCTTGTTGGGTGCCTTTTGAGCTGCTGTACTCTGAAGGAGCCGCTTAATTAAATTCCAGCTGGTGCCTTCCCTGTACTGCTTTCTGTATTAAAGGCCACTTGGCCTCTCATAGGTACCGTGTTTCCTAAAAAGTAAGACACTGTCTTATATTTATTTTTTCTCAAGAAGACACACTAGGCTCGGGGCCTGTGGCTCAAGTGGCTAAGGCACCAGCCATGTACACCTAAGGTGGCGGGTTCGAATCCAGCCCGGCTCACCAGACAATGATGGTTGCAACCAAAAAATAGCTAGGTGTTGCAGAGGGTGCCTGTGGTCCCAGCTACTTGGGAGGCTGAAGCAGGAGACGCGCTTGAGCCCAGGAGTTGGAGGTTGCTGTGAGCTGTGATGCTATAGCACTCTACCCAGGGGGACAGCTTGAGGCTTTGTCTCAAAAAAAAGAAAGAAGACACACTAGGGTTTATTTTCAGGGATGTCTTCTTCTCCAATAGCCATGCCATCACTAGGTTTTATTATTGGGGTAGGGCTTTATATTTAACAAAGGCATAGAAATCCTGCTAGGGCTTATTTTTGGGGTAGGTCTTATTTTCAGGGAAACACAGTAGGACCAGCTGGCCTTAAGACATGTGTCATGTGAAATCTCTGTGTTGCTCTCCAAGCTCAGAACTGCTATGCTGCTGGGGGTTTGTTTTTTTTTTTTAAGCTTTAATTTGTATGTTTCTGGTAACTTTTAATTTTTATTTAATTTCAAGCATACATAAAATTGTAATAGTACAAGGAACTCTTGTACACCTCTTACCCAGATTCCCTGTTAGCATTTGTCTCATCCGCTTTCTTACTCGTGAACAGCCTCCACCTGGGTATACATGCACACATACAACGGACCATTAGACAGTGGGTCTCAGACAGTATGCTTCTTTATTTCCGAATACTTCATTGTGTATTCTTAGGAATGAGGACATAATCACATAGTTATTAAAAAACCAGCAAGTTAAGCCTATAGTCCCAGCTACTTGGGAGGCTGAGGCAAGAGAATTGCTTGAGCCCAAGAGTGAGGTTGCTATGAGCTGTGATGCCATGGCACTCTACCAAGGGTGATGAAGTGAGACTCTGTCTCAAAAAAAAAAAAAAAAAAAAAAAAGGGTAGTGCCCCTAGCTTAGCCAGTAGGGCGCTGGCTACCTACACTGAGGCTGGAGGGTTCGAGCCCAGCCTGGGCCTGCTAAACAACAACTGCAACCATAAAATAGCTGGGCTTTGTGGCAGGCACCTATAGTCCCAGCTCCTCGGGAGGCTGAGGCAAGAGAATCGCTTAAGCCCAAGAGTTTGAGGTTGCTGTGAGCTATGACACCATGGCAATCTACTGAGGGTGACATAGTGAGACTCTACCCCCAAACCCCCCCTCCCAAAACAGCAAGTGTTGATACAGCATCCATATTTAAATTCTGTCCATATTCCAATATGGTCCCAGTAGTGTCAGAGCTTTATTTTTAAGGAAAACAATCCTGGGGTGCATGTGTGTCACCTAGGTTACACTGGCTAAGAGGAGAGTGGAACCTGCATGTATTTGGGGGACTGTTATGAGTGCTGCATTACCAGCTTCTTGTGTTTCTATAGAACAAGAGGAGTGAAAGCAGCAAGTACCACGCTAAGCAACAATGTCAACTGAAGTGGAGACCTCAGAGGGAGTAGAAGAGTCAGAGAAAAAGAACTCTCAGGCCTCAGAAAAGGAAAACCACACCAGGTGAGGAATGGGTGCTGGCTGCATTGAGCCAGGTGGGCCAGCTGGTTTCTTCTGCTGGTAGCTCCAGGAGCAGTCATATATGGCTGCCTATTTAGCATACCAGAGGCCGTTGCTCAGTCCCTCTCCGCATTTGTTCTGTCCCCTTTATTCAAGGAGGCAAGGCAGGTGTTGCTGGGAGTACTGAGTGGTAAGATATGATAGGAGTACCTTTTTCCCTCTTAAAACCTAAGTAACTGTGTTTTTGATCTGGGCTGAGAAAGGGTAACCAGAGGTAAGGCTGGCTTCTCTTCAGTGTCTTCTACCTCTTAAAGGCTTTTTTCCTACTGTGTAGGGCCTGTTCACTCTAAGCCTCCAGTTACTGGGCCCTGTTCCGAATTATGTTTAGCCGCTTTTTTTTTTTTTTTTTGAGACAGAGCCTCAAGCTGTCCCCCTGGGTAGAGTGCCGTGGCATTACAGCTCACAGCAACCTCCAACTCCTGGGCTCAAGCGAGTCTCCTGCCTCCGCCTCCCAAGTAGCTGGGACCACAGGCGCCCGCCACAAGGCCAGGCTATTTTTTTGGTTGCAGCCGTCAATGTTGTTTTGGCGAGTCCGGGCTGGGGATTCGAACCCGCCACCTTAGGTGTACGTGGCTGGCGCCTTAGCCGGTTGAGCTATAGGCGCCGAGCCTGTTTAGCCTCTTATTACAACCTTGACACTGGTATAGTCTGCGAAACAATTGCTGATAATAAACTGACTCTTTATACATGCATGATAAGAGCTAATCTGAAGAAGCTAGCAGAAGCTGGACCATGAGAGGGCCGAGTTTTTCTTTTCTTTTTTTTTTTTAAATATGGAATGTTTATTCAGTTTCTTTTTTCTTTTTCTTTTTTTTTTTTTTTTTGCAGTCTTTGGCCAGGGCTGGGCTTGAACCCGACACCTCCAGCATATAGGTCCAGCACCCTACTCTTTTGAGCCACAGGAGCCACCCGTGAGTTTTTCTTGCTCTAGTATGTGGATCATATGGCCATATGAAGCCCTGCCCAGGGCTACCACTTTAGGATTACACGCTTTCTTTTCTTTTCAGGCTAGAGTACAGTGGTACGATCTTGGCTTACTGTAGCCTTGAGTTCCAAGGTTCATATGATCCTCCCACCTCAGCCTCTCAAGTAGCTGGCACTGTGGCATATGCCACTGCACCTAGCTAATTTTTCTATTTTTTTGAAGACATGAGGTCTCATTATGTTATCTAGGCTGGCCTCAAACTCCTGGCTTCAATGATCCTCCTGCCTTGGGCTTGCAAAGTGCTGGGATTATAGGCATGAGCCACTGAGCTGGCCGGGATCACATTTTCAACCATCCATCAGCACTTTATCCTATTTAAGTTTGTTAAGCAGCACAAACCCAAGGTCCTGGCCCCAGCCTCTCTGTTGTCTTCTTTTCATTCTCCTATTCCTGGGTCTAGCCACATGCAGTCCTGAAGAGGCTGTGGGTCCAAGCTGAGAGCCATGCTCATAGCCATTTACAGAGGTGTGTAGATTCCCAAAGGCAGGCTGTTCACTGGAGAAGCCAGCAGACACTGGTGGGATTAGAGATGTGTGTTTCTCTCATCACCAAGGCAGCTGCAGAAGCAAAGTGTTGTTCATGCAGCTAATTACCAACAGACACAGATGCTTTTGAGGTGGTGGCCATGGCCATACCTGCATCCCAAGTCCTAGGGGTAGATTGCCCTGTTTGCCTTGCATTCCCTGACAAGGCCCTACCATTCATACTAAACGAAATATCTAAGCCAGGGGTCCTCAGACTTTTTAAAACAGGGGGCCAGTTCACTGTCCCTCAGACTGTTGGAGGGCTGGACTGTGGGCCCCAGGACTAGTCGGCTGCTAAATACGACAGGCAGTGGCGGCAAAAACACCTGGTGGGCCGGATAAATGTCCTAGGTAGGCCGCATGTGGCCCGCGGGCTGTAGTTTGAGGATGCCTTATCTAAGCAGCCCCTGCCTCCAGTCTAGCATATGGTCACTCTGGGGTCTACTCAGTCTTTTTGTCCTTTCTGGGGAGCTGAGGATGTATGAGTCTCTTGGTCTCTCTCTCTCTCTTACACACACACACACACACACCCTCCCGTCCACAGAATGGCTGACCTCTCTGAGCTCCTGAAGGAAGGGACCAAGGAAGCACATGATAAGGCAGAAAACACCCAGTTTGTCAAGGACTTCTTGAAAGGCAACATTAAGAAGGAGCTATTTAAGGTTTGTGCCCCTTGGTCATGGATGAGGTTGGGTTCCAGACTTTCATGTGGGGCTGGGGACCCATAAGAAAGGTGCCCCCAGAGCTGCTCCAAGGGAGAAGCTGGGCTTTTCTACACATTCCATTCTTTCTGGACATTAAGCTGTGGCTCTCTGGCTTAAATGGAGTAACAAACATAGTGATATAAAGGAAGCAAAAGTATTCCAAAGAATTCACCATGTTATTCCTTTAAACATAAAGCTTCCTAGGTATATGAAATAATTCACTATATAAAAATGGCATAGGCTCCTGTTAATCTGAAACAAAAAAAGAGATCCTAAGAAAGAAAAAAGGCACAGGATTGGGTCTTTGGGGACTGGAGGGAGTGCTGCCTGAGCCTGTGTACTTGACCACTTAGATAGGCTGGGGTGTTGCCAGCTGTGGCCTGCAGCCTTTTGCCACAGCCTCTTCCCATTAACCCTACAGCTGGCCACCACTGCACTTTACTTCACATATTCAGCCCTTGAGGAGGAAATGGACCGAAACAAAGACCACCCAGCCTTTGCTCCCTTGTACTTCCCCACGGAGCTACACCGGAAAGAGGCACTGACCAGGGACCTGGAGTATTTCTTTGGTGAAAACTGGGAGGAGCAGGTGCAGTGCTCTGAGGCTGCCCAAAAGTATGTGGATCGGATCCACTACATAGGGCAGAATGAGCCAGAGCTGCTGGTGGCCCATGCATACACCCGCTACATGGGGGACCTCTCGGGGGGCCAGGTGCTGAAGAAGGTGGCTCAGCGAGCACTGAAACTCCCCAGCACAGGGGAGGGGACCCAGTTCTACCTGTTTGAAAATGTGGACAATGCCCAGCAGTTCAAGCAGTTCTACCGCGCCAGGATGAATGCCCTGGACCTGAACCTGAAGACCAAAGAGAGAATTGTGGAGGAAGCCAACAAGGCCTTCCAGTACAACATACAGGTACTGCTGGGTGCTGGCCACGGGCCCAGCTGTGCTCGGTGCCTGGGCTGCAAAGTGAAGCTTTAATGTTGGGAGCAAACCCAGAGCTGCCCAGGACGGTGTCCATGGTGTTAGGACAGATGGATTGTAATGTGCTGGGAGAAAAGTAAAGGAACCAAACTGGCCACCACCAGAGAGCATGGGCCCAGTGGATGGTTCCCAGCATGGAAGGCCTGGTTTGAGAGATGCTGTGGGCAGAGCTTAGGGGAAGGGTGAGGGGTCTGGGTGAGTTGGACTGGATCCTCTCTCACAAGATACCAGTAGGACTGGATAATTTCTTCCTTTTTAGTGATGATTACTCTGAAAAGTCCTGCTTGGTAAGTTTAAAGAGAGCCAGTTTTACCAATGAGTAGGGAGACTGGCTGGCTGTTTACAAGTAGCTTCTAAATAAGGCTGGGCCTGGGGAGGCTCATCTGTCCCTAGAGCCCCAGGTCAGCTCTCAGTACCAGGCAAAGTGATTGTGGGCAAGTGAAGTGCTAAGCTGAGGATAGACCCTGTCAGCTCTCCACTAAGACCTCTTGGGGCCATTCAGGATGGGTCTGCCCCACTGGGGCCTCATTCTCCCATAATCCTAGTTTTCTGTTGTTTCTTGCTAAAAAAATAACTAGCAGCTAGAAATGGGGACATGTCTGTGCCATCTCCTGTGTCCTGTTTGTTTCAGTGGCTTGAGCTACCTCAGAAAAAGCCAAGCATGGGGTACACATCAGGTCAGTTCCAGGGGAGACCCACCACAGTTGTCAGCTATGTTGGGGTGTCAGCAGCACAGGTAGGGCCACACCTCCCTAGAGTCTGCACTGGGGAAAAGTGCCTGGCAGTGCTATCATCTATCTACTGGGTTGCTTGCTTTGCTAGCTGCACCTGCTCCAGCCAACAGGCAAGAGATTCTGCTCTGACTGCAGTGTACACACTCCAGGGATAGCTCATTTGATCCTCTGCTTCTGCAGATATTCAATGAACTGGACCAGGCTGGCTCCACACTTACCAGAAAGACACTGGAGGATGGGCTTCCTGTGCATGATGGGAAAGGAGATGTGCGGAAATGCCCCTACTATATTGCCCAGCAAGATAAAGGTAGGTCTATGTGTTCTGAGCTCCCCTCTTGGGGCAGGCAGGTCAGTGGCCCCCACTGATGCCATGCCCCCTGTGGGTGCTGCCATGCAGGTGCCCTGGAGGGTAGCAGCTGTCCTTTCCGAACAGCCATGGCTATACTGAGGAAGCCCAGCCTCCAGTTCATTCTGGCCATTGGTGTGGCCCTGGCTGCTGGATTCTCAGCCTGGTACTACATGTGAAGGATCCATCACGCTGTGCCGGCATCCTCCTCCCAAGTGACCACTGGCCCACTACCATCTCTACCCCTGACTAAATTACCACCTCAGGTTGACTTTTTTAAAATGCTAAGTTTGGGAAAACAGGCAACCAATAAAAGCCAGGCCCTAGAGCTTCTACCTGACTGCGTCTTCTGTGTGAGCCAGATGCTGTACTGGGTACAGGCTGGGAGCAGCTAGTGCAACATGGCAGGGCAGGCCTGGGCCTCTGGACCAACTCTGCCTTGGGTGCTGTCTAAGCCCCATCCTTGTTCCCTCACTTCCTCCCTGTTTCTCAGAACTCGGGTAGCCATCTTCCCCTTTGGGTGAGTGACCAGTAAAGCCCAGGCTGTGGCTGTGGCTGGTGGCCCTTGCCAGATGCTGCTGCTCAACTTCTTGGCTTTTCTAGGGGGTAGGGTGGGCAGAAATCAGGTGCTCCTCCTGCTTTAGAGCCCTGGGAGCTCACCCAGAAGCCCCAGAGGTCTGCTCACCTATAGCTTGTCTCCTCCTCTGACTTGTGTAAATGCTACCACACTCAATAAAGTCTACTTCGCAAACTGGTTCCTTTCCTCCTCCTCCTGGCATGGGGTGGGTCAGGTGACCTCATCAGAGAGGAAGAGTCTCTCAGAAGCAAAGGTGCCTTGTGCCTGCAGGGGTAGTTGCTGTCATGTGCTCCCGAAGCACTGCTGGTCACCTCCCAGTACTCTTGTCCCCAGGGCAGTCACTCTTTCTCACGAAAGATCCTTAAAGCATACTTGGTCTTGTGATTTTCTAACTCAGAAATACCCTGGAGGTTACCTAATTAAAAAATATATACACATATAGTTAGGTCGGGCATGGTAGCTCATGCCTATAATCCCAGCACTTTGGGAGGCTGAGGCAGGTGGATTGCCTGAGCTCCTGTGTTCAAGACCAGCTTGAGCAAGAGTGAGACCCGGCTCTAAAAATAGCCAGGTGTTGTGGGTGCCTGTAGTCCCAGCTACTTTGGAGGCTGAGGCAAGAGAATCACTTGAACCCATGAGTTTGAGGTTGCTCTGAGCTGTGATGCCATGATGGTACTCTATTGAGGGCAACAGAGTGAGACTCTGTCTCCAAAATAAATAAATATATATATATTTGTATTTAAATAATTCATTGTCTAAAATAGGAATGTGAACATACTTTTTTTTTTTTGCAGTTTTTGGCCAGGGCTGGGTTTGAACCCACCACCTCCGGCATATGGGGCCGGCACCCTACTCTTTTGAGGTACAGGTGCCACCCCTGAACATACATATTAATAGGAATCCATTGTAGTTTTATTTATTTATTTTTTTTTTTTTGAGACAGAGCCTCAGGCTGTCCCCCTGGGTAGAATGCCGTGGCATTACAGCTCACAGCAACCTCCAACTCCTGGGCTCAAGCGAATCTCTTGCCTCCGCCTCCCAAGTAGCTGGGACCACAGGTGCCCGCCACAACGCCCAGCTATTTTTTGGTTGCAGCTGTCATTATTGTTTGGCAGGTCCAGGCTGGGGATTCGAACCCGCCACCTTAGGTGTACGTGGCTGGCGCCTTACCAGTTGAGCTATAGGCGCCGAGCCTGTAGTTTTATTCTAACAAAGGTTAAAAGGTAAGCAAACTTTTAAAAAATGACTGACAAACTAGTGACCAAGCCTACCACTTTTCACAGTTAAGTTAGCAGGCTCAGAGAGGGCCAAGGTTAGAGTTGGCGAAAAGCTGGGGGCCCAGACTGTGCGTTACCTTTCAGACTATCAGCCTCTCTGGTTTAAGGGAATGAGAGGGCCTGCTTGCCGCTCACAGAGGTGGATGCTGAAGCAGGGAGATAAATGGCTGAGATCAGTGGCAGAGAGAAGGTTACCTTAATAGTCAGTGCTAAGGCCAACTTGGCCTATATAGCTGGAATTCCCAAGGCTAGTCTACACTTTCAGCATCATCCTTGGGCAGCTGGCAACTGCATAAGTACCACAGTGTGTCACTGCCCTGTGGACCTGGAGCCCCATCCCTTCTCCCTCAGAAAAGACAGAAACCAGGCAAGCAAGTAGACAGGGTGGGGAGTAAAAGGACCAATTTAATGAGAAACTACAAACAGACTGGGCCACAGTTCACAGTGACAGGAGGCCATGCAGTGGCAATGCAAGACCAGGAATGGGACAGTGGTAAGATAGAGCGGTCCAGGTGAGCAAGTTCACAGACAAACCATTCAGGAAGTAAAAACAGGTTTGGGCTCAGGCCCAGGGCAGGGCTGGTGTCCACCAGGGCACATCGTACTGGTGGTTGCTCCTTCCTCCAGTCAGTCTCCAGCCCAGTGCAGCAGTATGTCCTGAGGTGCATCCTGCTGAGGCCCTGCAGCAGAAGGCAGCCTAGTGCTTACCGGGAAGAGGGTCACCAGGCAGCTGTGCAGATCCAGGCACACCCACAGGGGGCCTTCCTCTCTGCCATCTCTTAGCCCAGCTGGGACACACCAGTCCAGGGGCAGAGCACGCAGGGAGGACGCGGTGCAGATGGAAGAGGGCAGGCTCATGGGGATACCTTCGGGCCTCAGCAATGCAAGATTCACAGAGGTGTAGCCTGAAAAGGGGGTCTGCACTCTTGACTCAAAGGTGGTGGGGGAGGGGTAAGGTCCTTCCTTCTTGGCTACTCCTTACACCAGGCAATTCTTGGGTACCAGACAGGGTGTTATGGGTCCTGGGTTTCTATACCTGAGGGTTCTGAGGGCCAGAGGTGGCAGTTATCACTCCTGACTGTTATGCCCCACCTCTGGCACCCCAGAGGCACAATGTACTCCAGAATCAAACCCAGGCCTTATAACCCTGTCTAGCTTAGGCCTGCCTGACTCTAGAGAACTCCATACTTGGCCCAGCAGGCCAAAAATGATGTGACTACAAGCACAGCCCCAATGAAGGCTCCAGGCCTGGGACCCACCACAGCTCTGGCTGCTTTTGGTACCAGGGAGAAATGTTTGGAACCAGACCTGTACAGAAACAGAGGAAGGAGTCGGACGCCAGCGGGTGGCCCCTTCCAGCTTACCTTCCTTTTTTTTTTTCCCCCAGCTTACCTTCCTGATCACAAACACCAAGCAGCTGGCTCGTGAGCTCAGCCCTGCCCTCACTGACCCTTGGTCTAAAATCCAATAGAACATTGGCTGGAAGAGTCAGGTGCTCAGGGAGGGGAAGGTGAAGAGAACAAGACTTCCAGGGGATGGTGGCACAACTTCCAACCCCAAATGGGAGCAGGTAAATGACAACTGAGTGCAGGGAGCAAAGCACAGGGGACCGAACTGACAGGTGGTGGGGAAGGATCCTGAGTCCTGGCTCTGTTAGCACAGGCGCTTGTATGTGTAGATGTAGGCTTTGCAGCTGGGGCATGTGTGTGTCACATCCTTGAAGTCGTTGATGAGGCAGGGGATCAGGCAGCAGCCCAGGTCACACCTGAACCAGAGACAGAGACAGCTGTGAGGCTAGAAGGGAAGGGACAGAAGCGCATCCAATTCTGGCATGGCCCCTGTCTTGTGAGCACCTACCCCATGAAGCAGCAGAAGAAACCCAGCACGAAGTTCATCAGGCCAATCTCGTAGGAGATCTTGGTGGTGATGGCCTGCTGGCAGTGGGGACACACTGTCTGCACAGGAGCACCTTCGAAGATCTCTCCCTGCAGCACTGTCACTGTGGTGGCAGCCCCTGAAGGGACCAGGACAGTAGCCGTGTGGCCCCCAGGGCCAGGGTAGGGGCCTGGAGGGTAGGGCCCTGGTGGGTAGTAGCCCATCGGTGGGTGGGGGCCTGGAGGAGGGTAGAAACCTGGGGACAGATGAAAGAGCAACAAGGTCACAGACTTGCCACCTGCTCCAGGTAAGAGATGAGCAGAAAGCCCAGTGTATCCACAGCACAGGGCAAGGCCTGAAACTTACCACCCTCCTAATGTGGCCAAAGAGGGCCAGTGGGAGGCCTCACAGCCAGGATCCTGATCCCTACCCCAAGGGAACAAGGCAGATATGGCAGAGCCAGGAATCTGGCCCAGTCCCTTTTGTTTTCTTGCCTCTGGCACTCAGGGCCCCTGATCACAGGAGGAAAAGCCCTGCCACCTACAGCCCCTCCTGCATATTGGGCTCCCTCCCAACCTGTGTCAGGTGTGTTGAGGGCCAGCCCTGACCCAGGCAGCCCAAGAGCAGTCCCTGGGAAGAGCTACGCCGCATCTCATCCTGTTTTGCTTTCTCACATCCATAGGCATCATGGGCCCCCATCTATAGGCAACCTGAGGTTGAGGCCGGGTCTAGTCTCATGTGAGCCAGCCCCTGCCTCACTGACCCACAACAGCCAGCTATAGTGATCAGCTACCCGATGCTCCCTCAGATCCCTTCCCAACTCACCTGGAGGCATGTAGGCACCATCTGCACTCACATGCGGGGGGATGAAGCCTGGCTGGGGCACTGGGTGACCTGGTGGCTCATATGGTGGGGGGCCGATGTCTGCAGGGGGTAGCGGCATACCTGGTGGGGGTTGCATCACAGCTGGGGAGGTGCGGCCTGGACAGAGAGGGTGGGAAGATGCTTAGCAGGAGTTGGCACAACAGGCTGAACTGGAGGCCACTGTTATGAGATAGAGATGGGGCCTAGGGGTGATCCATCACTTAGAAGATCCCAACCACACCAAGGGCAGGAACCCTCAGGAGGGAACCCCTACCTGGGGTAGTCGGGGCTCCACTTTTCTCCAGAAGGGGGGCTGTGGGGCCCCCAGGATAAGGAGGGGGTGGCTCATTTGACATCTCTGCTGTTTCTTCTGGACCTGGAAGGAAAACCCAGACATGTGCTAGGCTCCCAGCCATCCTGCTGCCCGCTTGAGCCCTGGGCAGTGGCAAAGACCACTGTATAAGACTTGTGGCCATCCTTAAAGGTGCCTTGGGCTAAGCCCAAGCACACAGGGCCTCCTGTGGCTCCTCCCAGGAATCCCTGTCCTGGAGCTCAGGTGTCTGAGCTGGAGTCTTTTACTTCACTCTGTAGAATCTCCTCGCTGTGGGAGTAGGATTGGGCTGCTCCAGGTCCTGGGAGCTCCTTCCCCAGGCAAAACCCAGCCCAGAGCCACTGCAGGAATCTGACCAAGGGCTCCACACAGGGCAGTCTGGCTCTTGCCCTCCCCTTGCCTCTCTTTTAAGGGGCACTGAGGTGGCCACAGAGGACACACTGAACTGACCTCTGCTGGAGGCTGCTGTGGTTGGGGAGGGTTCTGGGAGATTTCCTACCTCAAAGCCTAGTGCTCAGAGGAGGGAGGCAGGTGAGGCCCCTTCAGCTGCTGGCCTAGACAGTTGGGATAGGCAGGGCTCCAGGGAGCTGAGGGAAAAGACAGGCAGCACCTCAGCCCCACCATTCATTTGCCCCCACACCATCCTCCTCTCCCTGCCCCTCATTTCTGCCCTCTATCTCCCTTAAGAATGTCATACTGGAGGGCCACAGCTGGGTCTTCTGTGCCCCCCGCCCCCAATCTGTGTCCCATGCATGGAAGAAAGCCAAAGGATGGCCTGCAGCTCTGGCTAGTCCCCTCCTGTTTTCTATGTCTGGGGGGTGGGAAGCACTTTCCTCCATTTCTTTCCTTCAGCCAACTCCCTGGGCCCACTGCCAGGGCCCTGGGGAGAAACCAGGAAGCCTTTCACTCTTAGCATCATAAAAGACTAAACTTTACCAACACCAGCTACTACTACTTAACTGAAAGTAATAAAACAGTATGAACTAGAAAATGAATCTCAACAGTACAAAAGGGTACACAGTGAAAGGAGCACTCCTGGCAGAGTCCCTCTGGAACCTGGAGGCACAATGCTACAGATATACCCACGTGGGGCACAGGGGAGGGGGAGCCTGGAATTTGTATTTTTAAATATTAAGTTTAACAACTTGGTGGTAGGGCAAGAGGGACCAAGTCCAAGCTCTTGGGTTCAACTATAAAGTTACAGGACAGTTTGAAAAACTAAAGGAAACAGATTAAAGACCTAAAACTATAAAACTCTAAAAAGAAAACATAGGCATAAATCATTACCTTAGGTTAGGCAGTGGTTTCTTAGATATGATACCAAAACCACAAGCAAAACAGAAAGAAAATGTAATATCAAAATTACAAACATTTCTATTTCAAAGGGCATCATTATATAATTCATATATCTGTAAGGGACTTTTATTTAGAATATGTAAAGACGACTTACAACTCAGTAACAGAATAAATGACCCAATATTTTTTTCTTTTGAAACAAGAATTGTGGCTC